ACAACCACGTGAAGGGTGGAAGAGCCAGAGGCGATCAAACAATGACTTGGCAGCGAACTACGAGAGCCATTGCCAGCAAACTCAGCTGCGCTGGTTATTGCCATCTTCCTGGATGGGGACCCCGAGACGGGCCACATCAATGGCTAGAGATATTGTCAGACATGGCCCAGTCGCGCCCTCAATGGCGCTCGTGCGTCCAAGCTATTGCCTTCAATGCATAGCTCCTTATCCAACCCCCCACTTGACAGCCCACTGACAGTGTTGGATTTATGCACCAGTTTATCAGCTCCCGCCTGCAATGCGAAGCTACCTACTCTTCCCCCCAAATCATCGGTGAACGAAACTGCGGCAGCTACAACTACTGTACGAAGAGTACGCGATTATTACAGCTGACAATGATGATGATGATCTTACCGGTGAAAGGCTCGCAGGGGACAGGTCACAAGTTGGCGACGCGAAATGAAGGCAGCTACTTTTAAACGGATTGTTGTACGGTCTTCACATCTTCCGGGTTGTGATCTACGTGACTTTCCTTGCACGTGGTCAGAAACCTCACGGGATATCACGTTGCCAGTTTCATTGGTGAGCACGCCGTCACCTACTCAGGCTGCCCTGCAAAAGTTTGTCTTTCATTGTGCGCTGGGCTCTTATTAAATGAGGTCCGCGAAATTACTAGGATCAAGCCCGCTGATGACACTTTATTTCGACATCAGGCTCAAATGGGCTTATACAGTCTGTGTCCCAACAAGTCGGTATCTCGTTCTTACTCGTTTTCGTTAGGGGCATAGGGCTGCTTGAAGAGGTGTAGACACTTCAGAATGCTCGCAATAGGCCAGCTCATTTCCCTTAGATAACGCACTTTTTCCCTCTCCTTTTCACTCGGAGGCTTCAAATATAAGTTAAATTAAATAAACCGTGCAGCTGTTGGACCTTTACGGTGCCTAGCTTACGGAAGAGGCACAATGACTGGGATACTGCCAGAATCCCCGCGACTAGACAGGACCAGTAGAGATGCTGGGGTCAGGTTCGAACCACGAACCTTGTCAAGTGGGAGCTTGCGCCTGACCAGTGCCGGAAAACTAAGGACTGATGTTTTTGATGAGGATAATTACTAGAGAATCAAGACTCTGTTAGCCTCACCATCATCATCACCGACAGCATGATTACTAACCTGAGTGAAATCTCAGGAATAACCTCCAGTATACATCTATAGGCCATACAGGCACACAACTCATCACACTACGGTAGGGTCCAATTTCGCGCGACGGTCCCCGAACTAGTAGAGAATACTCACACACGTCGCCAACTGGTCTCAAAATCTCACCCTTGTCGAGCTGAGGCCTTCCGTTCAAGTTGGTCTGTGATTGTAGGCTAATTCAGGTAGACCATTTTTCGTCTACAAGGGCGGACCTTTTCAGCACGTCTCGTTCAAATTACTTGAAGAATATGGTGAATCTTCAGAATGAAGTAGGTCTCACCATTACTTACCGTTGCCACCACCCACAAGCTATATACCCTGTTTATAGTAGCCAATCAGGCTTGCGCATTTGAACGGCGATAAAGCCCCATCCTGCGGCAAAGGCGCATTTGAGGACAACCTCACCCAACTCTACCGTACTCCGTCTACACCGAAGAGCCTAACAGCTGATCCAGTGTGTGCCAATAGTATACTAAAATGACGGCCACTGACATTAGACCAGATTACTTGGAACTTAAGTTCTAGGCATAAGGGCCCATCGCCCGGTATGGTTTATTGGTTTATGTTAGATCCAGACAAGTGACTGAAGTGGAAGTTGTGAGAGGAATTCCTCGAGTATACGGGAACCCCGTTGTTAAGCGTGTGTGAAGACCGAGTTAAATGGTACTCTCTGACCTACTCTTAGGTACTTAGCGATGACCAGCAGTTCCGAGTCAGGAATTACGAGAATCCACTATGTAGCGCTACAAGAGAAAATACACCAGGTTGTCACATTTTCAAGCATTTCAAGCATATCTCACCACAAGGATGTGTTTGGTGATCTCATAGTAAGATGTAAATCATCTCGAAAATCAACATACGCCTCTCACCACGGTAGGGAGGACAAGTGGCTGGGGTCTGACCGTGCACTACGCAAACTCACCACATGTTCACCGCGTAAAAGGACCAATCCAAGCGCCCGCTTCTCTTGTTTTTCCTTCTCTTGTTTTGACCCCTTGACTTTCACATGCCGGAACTCATCACAATCACAGAGAACAAGGTTCATATGACGATCGAAAGCTTTAAACGTGCCTACTAGTTGCCTGCCATCCTGCATTGTGCATCGGATACGGTAATTGATATGTTGACTGATCTTTGCATTCTTGCTAACAGGCTTAAATTAAAAAGTTACCACCAAATTCAACAAACCCACCATCCTGACTGCGAGAATTCAACGGGGGCGCGATGACGGGAGGCAAACGGAATGTTCAAACAATTAGTTCAAGACACGGATTCACGGTTTTACGCATTGAGAGGCCTTTTGGGAGCAAAGGTAATATTTGTTCAGATCTCTGCATTGAAACTTAATGGTGTATTTATCAGTGCTTTAGTAGTTGAGTTGATTCTGGGTAAGTTTCGGCGTAATTTTTCGTTCCCGAAGCCCAGAAAGCTGATTAACTCGTGACGATAGGTTGCACAAAAGTTATGCATTTTCTCTAATCTCTTCGGGCCATAATTGTGCCTGCCGTTTGGCAACTTTCGTTGACTTGACAGGTGTAAGCTAAAAAAGGGCGTGATACAACCATCTTTGCAGTTCGTTAGAAAATCTCAGGATGGCAAAATGCCTCCTACCACTTAAAAAGACAACTTAGTTGGCGTATTCAGCATGAATATGATAGGCTCCGCGGACTACCTAAGAATCCATTCGAATAACATATTGCAGAGTTTGAGGAACCAGTTGAAGGACAATATGTTTTTGTATCAGTTTTTCAAGATGGGGTACGGGTATGCCTGAATAGTGCGGCGTTTTGCACCTTTCTTCGGATTCTATCATAACATTACGTATTTCGTCAATTGCACACATCTTTGGTTGAATAAGAGGAACTACTAAAACGCTCTTTTGTACACTATATCAAGATCGCTAAGGCTTTTCTAAGGATATTTTGGCGATTTTGAGCCACGGCTTCTAGACTGATGCTAAAGATTCGAAATGTGTTGCAACGGTATACTAGACAGGGATATAGATACAGAACATGCAGCCCCACGGACTTAGGGGGCTGCGTTTCACCGTTGCGTTAGCACTCTAAAATGGGTCCTACATCCCCAGTGAACTGGCTCTCATGGTCTCTAAGCTGGTTTTCTCGAGGTAGTTCATTTTTAAAAGGGAATTACAGGCCGAAAGTTCTACAGTTGAAACTCAAAATCTGCATCTCGGTTTCTCCTGTTTGGCGTTGGGGAACCATTTAGTAACTGAGCCCTGGTGTTTTATCCCGCTGGTATGGAAGACTGGCACCGGAGAATTGGTACATCCGAACGAATGTTATCGTTACTTGTTTCAGGTTCGTATAAAAGACGGTGGTCACATTAACTTCCTGATTGACCACAGCTCCTTGACATGCATTATAAGGCGTTCACTGAATGGCAACTGAAGGCATGAGCCCAACTTTAAGGTCATCATACATGCGATAGTTGTTGCCTGAATTTTCAAACTCGATCGGATCCCCATAATTTCTGCGTTGTCCGACAGTGCGGAGTGTGGATATTTTGGGTAGCCCAGTTCAGTCCCAGGTGAAGATGAGATGAATTCGATCAACGATGAAACACTTATTAAGACCACTATGCAATGGCTATGATCCGGTCTCGCTTTGCCCCTCGACGAAAAGAGTGATTCTTCCCTTAAAGCAAGTTTTTATGCACCTTGAACGTTTGGTTACAGCAGTCAGCCAACTGAGGTCAGCTAAAAAAGCCAACCTAATACTTAGCTAAAGACTATTTTGAGACCAAAAAGCAAGGCACTAATACTAGTCCAGTCTTCCTGCCATTTTATCTAGAAAGCCAAACAGGCTGGGTGTGCGTGTGAGCTCTCTAAAATCCCGCAGCTAGAGAGTGTGAACCGTACACAAAGTGGCAACCTTCAGGGAGAAGATCTCTTCATTCTAATTTAATTTCGTGATTGGTGAGATAGTGAGACGAACGCTGGGAAAAAATCCCGGTTTTTAAATAACCTGTGGCGACAAACTTGCCGATATAGAATGTGCAGAAAATGTTGTTCTCGTCCTCGAATACGCGAAGGCCACGTGTTTTAAGATGAACTGACCAAAGTCATCCCGTCCTTCCGTATATGCTTTGCACCCACAAGGTGTAGGGTCCTGCTCATGGACACCCTGTCACTGAACACGTCACTTGCAATCGAGGCAGAGGTACTGGAAGTTGCGGAGCGTTTTATGTTTCTATGTAACCGATGAAAACAACACAGTAATCTCCAAGGCCTGGGTCGCGTTTGCCAATTTGAGGCACCTGTGGCTTCAAAGTAATGTAGTCCTGAATCTCAAACGACGTGTGTAGCGGGTTGCAGTGCAGGCTGTTTTGTTATACGGCTGGAACTTGGCCCGTTTGGGTAGTGGAACTGGTGGCCAAAATTCGTTGTCTTAGATACATAGCACGTGAGAGTTGGTATCGGAAAATTCTCAGTGAGACAGTTAGTAATTGAGCTTTTGCCTGGACAAAGGTACTCTCATTGAAGAATATGTCCAACCGCAGAAGCTGCATTGGTAGCACCATGTATTACGTTTGCCATCATCGTTTGCCGGGGAGAGTGAAGTTTTTCATGCCCCATTCAGTCTGGCGAAAGCAGAAAGGTGGTCAGCGCTCGACCTGAAAGAGGGATATGAAAGAGCTCACGAAAAGTTTGAGTGCTATCGGTGCTGCTTGATTACCAGGATGGGAATTGCGTAGACAGCAGCTCGCCTAGTTGGAGAAGCCGCAACTTATGGATACTTACCGATGTCAGCTTTTATCCAGATTGCCTATATGTGTGCTGCTTGTTACCAGGATGGGAATTGCGTAGACAGCAGCTCGCCTAGTTGGAGACCCCGCAACTTATGGATACTTACCGATGTCAGCTTTTATCCAGATTGCCTATATGTGTGTCTGGAGGTATATGCACCTTGCAATGACTGTAGTGCGCTGGCACTAAGTCCCTACCTCGTCAATCTTTTTCTTTCCCTCACAGTTGGCTTCCAAATAAATCACGGCTGTACTGCCGCAAGGCGTTAACGCTGAACACTGTTATAGTTCTGTCGGTGATGATAATGACGTTCTTTCATAAATCTACCCACGTTTACCGTGTAGTCAGTTGAATCCTTCAGCAAAGCCATCGTCTTTTCCATAATGGCTGATTTCACTTGATAAATTGCACCAAGTTCCACAGTTTTGCATAAAAATCCATTTCCAGATGCGCATACTCGCTACCTATGGGTGCTTCGTACAAATTTGCTGACATTTTGCCTCCAGAAATTTAGTTTGAAAGCTCGGCTTTTATTTTGGGAAGTGAAGGTTTTTTAGCGCATAGAGGAAATGCTTCCGACGTTTACTGAGCCACCAACAGTCACTGCACGACGTGTGCTCTAACCTTATATACATGCATGTAGCAGTCCGTAGCCTAACCATTATGGAAGCGGTTGGGCATTGGTTCACGTCCAACCTATACCACATACATTATCAGAATCTGTTGCCTATTCACCATACAACTTAACAGAGTCAAGCGATCATGTGCATTTCACCTCAAAGCAAACACTTTTATTCCGATAGCGTTCAACAAACACGAGTCCACTTGGACGATTTAGTCGCACATTTACTCTTTTTTTATTATGTCCCGTCCCTAACGTCCACTTTAGCGCTGTTTGTGCCACTGTCACCAACTGATGTGAGTTCTTTTCTGCAAAACTGGTGCTGATAATGACACTCCGGTCACTAAAACTTTATGCAAAAACCAGCTTCGTCCAGACTGACCCAGTTTCCGGAGCCGTTTCCTATACACTGCAACAAGTTATCTGTGTAATGCACCTAGTAATTCAAACCGCACATCTTTGCTTTTTATTCTATTCGCATACTGCTGTTTTCTGCCTGGCACTCCGAAATTCACTTAATTAATGTCTTCCGTTTTACGAAAAGGCTTCATATCCATAGCTACACAAAATTAGTATGTAACCGGTGTTTTGCACCTACTATTCTCTTAGTTTAAGCTGCCCAAGATATGCCTAATCCCAATAATCCATTTTTGAAAGCTCTCAATTATGAAATTACACTTTTCATAACCTTAAGAATTCAAACTGTTATTTCTAGTATCCACACTTATAAGGCGATGAACAAATTTTATGCCCCCCTGTTTAAGCTGCCCAAGATATGCCTAATCCCAATAATCCATTTTTGAAAGCTCTCAATTATGAAATTACACTTTTCATAACCTTAAGAATTCAAACTGTTATTTCTAGTCTCCACACTTATAAGGCGATGAACAAATTTTATGCCCCCCTTGGCATTTACACTGAAACATAGTTGCTTATTTTGCACGCACTATTCTATGTCATATTTCATGCCAACCCGAGCAAGCCTTATCACGTTTTGGACTTGGGTACACCATTTCGGGGAATTTTTAATTAGAAGCTCATCATGCCTTGTATGTGCTACATATTATAAGCCAGCACTCGGACCCCTCAACGCGGCTCCCAGAGTGCCTTTACTGTACCTCAATAACTTCCTGGGCTTTGCTCGCCATTTGGCCGAAACATTCACACCAACATCGTTTAATCCAACTAGTCTCCATTAATTGGTGTCGAACTGCAAAACTGTGCAACGAGTCTAAAAGCCGACCGGGTCCTCCACTTTGTTGATGCTGACCAAAATTGACCGGTGCATCACAGGTTGGCGGCACAAATTAGTAGCCTGCGCTACAAGAACCTTACCGTTATTTTCCCATGCCATGCCCATATTGGGTAAGATTGATTGCGGTATTCAGCCGAGGAGCACCTGTCTTTGTGGCGAGGACCAAATCATGGAAACTCATCCTTAGCCTAAATAACAATTACTTACTTCAAATGGGAAAAATTCTGGCGCTTGGAAATCACATAAGTGCTTTATCACTTGATATAAAAGACAAGGTTTGCAAGGCCGTTCTGCCATCATCCTAAATAGTAGTCCTGAGGCGTGCAATTCCCTTCCGTTTCTAACCGTTTCTCGTCAAATACGTGGTCCCCTACTTTGGTGTAGATTTTTGTCAGATTTCACTGATAACATTTCTCACTTTGCTTTGCTATTTACTATCCTCTTGCATTAGTGTCAGCCGATTGTCGTTCGATGGTCTCCTCCGTATATTTCTATTCTTCTTTCCATTGTTTTCTTATTCAGTAAAGTCGCGGAGCTTTTAGAGATCTAGAGTAAACCTTGGGCACAATTTTTCTAGTCAAAAACCAATTGTCCTGAAATGAAACTAAATTGAATGTTCTCTAGTCACAGACCGCCTTAAGAAAAACCAAATGATCCTCACACAATGACTTTTGCTACAACGAGGCAAAACCAAATACTTACTCCGAAGGGCAAGACGACACTTTTGACGGCAACTATGCTTATCTTGTTGGAAAGAGTCTCACCGAAATCGTGAGCCACATGCCGTGTAACCCCAAAAAACTAGATTCTGTTTTTCACTCGCTTAGTCCCTAACTGGTTTCCCGTCGGTTTGCAGGCAAGTTTTCAGGCAAAAATCAGTCGAATTACAATTGCGAACAAAATGAGGGAGGTACCGCAGGGCCGTCTTATCGTCTCCACTGGCGAGACCAGACTGAGTGACCAGTGCTTCGCTCAGAAGTAGAATGATATTAAGTTTACTTTCCAGCTTGTAGAAGCATACTAATGGAGGAGTGATAAGACCGCTATGGTCAGGGCGTGGTGGGCTACAAAACACCTGGGAAAATCAAGGAGACGTGCTCACCACATGATAAGTAATCAAAAATTGTGCAAAGCGAAAACTAGAATAATTAGGCATGTCACGAGTGGTTTAGTGATGAGACCGGTTGATTTGGTATAAAACCGAAAACCGCTGCTGATCACGGATGACTTGTGATGTCTGAGTGGATGAGCAGGGTCACGGAAACCTCAAATGGATATCAAGAAGTAGAGAAATTCACAATGAAGACGTGGCAAGTTTCGGTACTGAGTAAACTGAGTAAACTCACCGGTGTCGCTGCTGGATGGAAATCAGATGTAAAGGGTAATGAAGGGTAATGCATTGGGCTAACGAGAAGCGTAGACTTATTGGTTGGAAATAGAGGTTAGATAAACTGAAGTTGCAGCGCAGAACTGCGATGGTTAGCTCCGAAAATAGGTTTCGGCTGATTATATGGAGAATGTCTCAGAGGCGACCAATGCCAAATAAACAACTTGTTCATGGTTGCCGGTGAAGGACCAAGTAGGAAGAAAAGACAGCTGAAACCAGGAGGAGAATAGTTCCAGGTGTACCGTCAAATTGGATATGGGAGTGCAGTGCCATTAGTGCACCGGTACTTCGGCTTCTGGGCGGCCCCTTAACGGACGTCAAGAATGCAGTAATCGGACGAAGATGCGCATTATCATGGTAACTAGATTTGGGTCTGACTATAGGACTGACACGGGCGGATTCAAGTCGATGTAGAAACACAGGTGACTTTGATTCGTGGATGAGGCCAGCAAACAGATAACTAATGTTTTCGCGAAAGCTTTCGGGATAACGGGTACAGGCTCTAGTTCAACTAGGAGCTACCGTGTGAACTGAACAAATGTGTAAGTGTGAGGGATACCAATCAGTGCTGTCAGCTACAGGTGACGAGTGGTGCACGGCGAAAAATAGCCAATAAGCATGGTCTGTGAATGCTAAAATTAGAAGAATAATAGAGTTCTTGTATTTTACATGTATATGACCAATCCCGAGGACAGAAGGACGAGCGTGGATGCCGTCTGGCTGAGGAAGTTAACCATGTGAGGTGAAACCCTCAAGTATGATGAAGATGAAAACAAATTTAATCGTTTTCATAAAGGAAACTACTCACAAGGTTGCTGCATAAGGTGTGCAGTACATTCGGCTGGAGGACATCATAAACGAGAGACTCAATTGAGTCTCCCGTGAAAAACAAATTGATTTGCAAATGAGTGTATTTCTCGAAAACAGTCCCATTTGGGTTCAGGTAGATCAGTAGATTGACGGAAACTCGGGGGCTGTGCCTACCCGATGAGTCCCAAGCAGGGCGAAACCGGTCGTGGGCTGTCGAGGAGTTTTCAGCAACCTTGTGAGTAGTTTCCTTCACGAAAATATACTGCGAAATCTCGAATATCGTGCCAACTGAAACATGAGGTGACCTGTGTGAAGCATATTCAATTGTAGAATACAATTAACGAGGGATTTAGCTGAGCCTCCCGTGAAAACCAAAATGATTTACAAATGAGTGTATTTGTCGAGATTTAAGCAGTGTCGTTAGTCGCAAAGTCGCAGTGTTCTCATTCTATTCATGCAAATCTGACGACAACCAAGATATTTTTCGAGCCAATAGCCACAGAGCTTTAGAATCTACTGCGACAGGAGAAAAACCCGTGCACCTAGAAGGTTGGCGGGTGTATGAGCGTACTTTGGTGCCACACAACACGGCGATCCTCTCTGTAGCTGGCTACCATATGAGGCTTTCGTCCGTTGTGCATGATACCAGATCTGCAAGGTGACATGTCAACGAGAAGTTATAACTGAAGTTTACGCATTAACCAAGGACCCTATCTACCACATATTTCATCCGGTCAGGGAAAACCATGTCAGCAAAACAACCCAGTCATTTTAACAATTAAACAGCAAACAGCCGCTGCAACAGACAGGTGGTAGAGGCAAACGAAACGGCGGTCGCAATTTGGGAACGGGAATAAAGTAAAGACGTCCAGGCTATGTCCACCATAGCTGAATGATGACGATGCTTTGGTGCTGATCGTCACTACAGCTTGCGCTTGGCCTACGAGATTCGTCTTATTTCTCACCTCTCGTAGATTCTGAGGAGCGCCATGCCTTTTGGTTGCGCAGCTACCTATAACACAAAATTGTGTTCAAAGTTTTTTGCCAGCTGCGTGCACAAATAATAAGCAATTATTTATCTCCATTGTTCAACGCCATTTATATGTAAAAACCGTGAATTCACCAGTTTCTCAACAAAAGTTCCATGTAAAGGTAAGCGCATAGCTGCTTGGTAACGATACCATCAAACTAATTGTCAGGCTGAAATTCGCACCAAAAACCCTGAATAAGAAAGCATAGAATGGAACCATTCAGCTCAAGCATGTGCCCTAAATTGCCTCAATGTGACGGAAAACGGTCTTTCCCAATACTATAGTTTTGGTAAAAATTGCGCGAACCGGACAATGATTCTTCCAGGGCCGTGAACCGGTTTAGCCGGGGTGACATGCTTATATCGAGGGCGTTGCCAGGGTAGCGGCCTTAAAAGTTTAGGCTGGTGACGGAAGCATCTAAATGTCAGTAGCTTCACGATGAAGCTGAATGTGCATATGAGGGCCCAAGCGAGTGACTGAAGACAGGCAGTGGAACTTGACTACTTCATTTCATGGCAGCGTATCGCGGCTCACGGGCATATGACGCGACTGAGAAGTACTTCAAAATTTTCTGAATTACGTGGAAGCGCTTATCTTGGAACAAATCATGAACGGTGCAATAATCCTAGAAGATGATGCACTTCGTGAGTTTTTTTGCTTTTGCGTTCTATGCCAGTGGCTGGAGAGCATAGTGCAAGGGTTCCCAGCAGTTGCTTATGATGTGCAATGATGGTCTAGGTTCACGGATTCACGGATTGATACTATGAGAAATACTGTGCATAGGATAATGAGGAATTTCCTAATTGTGTGCGTAAGTAGAGACAAGTTTGGCTTAGATAACAGGTGCATGCCCATTCTTGTAAACTGATTATACCGCTAAAGGATTGCTGACCAGCGGCGATGACCTTGGGGCTGAGGCGCTTAATTGTAATTGACCAATGGGCGTTCAGTACTGACGGCATTCCATGTGCTTCTGCAGTCGAGCAGGGCGCCGACTGAGGCTGCGCTTGCGTCACCGCTCATGTGCTAAACCCGTAACTAATTGACACATAATAACAATTTAACACTTCATCACCGCTTCCCACTTACGTCCATAACAATGGGAACTGACGGACCGCCGAATGCGAAGGAAACAAAAGCTAAACTGGATTATCTCAAAGAGCTCCTTACTGACCGCACAATCTTGGCTTCAGATCCGCATGTATACATACACTTGGGAAAGATTTTGGAGCAAGGTACGCGTGCATATTCTCATTGTATTTTCCTAGAAATCCTTCGCATTCGCAGCTCTCTGTTTTCCGCCTATGGAATTTACACAATAACCGATAGCGAGTTACCTGAACCTGAGGGTCCCAAAGTGAATCTTCAAACGAAGGTCTATATGCCCACAGACCCAACTAATTCGGTACGTTTCAGCACCGCTTACTGTGGTGTGGTGAATTGGAGCGTTACAGTGCTTGGCATGCCGCCACCTTCCAGTTTACTTTCAAGCAGGTGGAAGTTGTTGATATTTCGTTAGGAAGGAAAACGATAATAAAGCATTGGCATGTAGGTTGTCATCTGTCCTGTCTTTCAGCGCTATTTCAATCTGAATAGGGTTGGCCAGTACGCGTTCCATAGTGAATTGTAGCTAGCGCGGTCCACAAATTTTCAGACAGGATTGTAAAAAAGGTGGAAGATCCATCTAGCCTCACATAATAGAACTGTTAGCCTGGGGACCTTTCAAGAGGCATGCCTGTAGAAGCAGATATAATTTCGCTGAAGTCAATTTGTTATTCGCATTCACTTGACTGAGCAGCCTGTTAAACGCAAATCTAACGGAGTCAGGTGTTTGATGGACAGTTACCTACGGTCTGTGATTCTTGGCAAGGGGTAGATAGAGAGGAAAATAATGCCTAAAATCGCGTACTGGCAGCTTCGTCATGCAGTAGTGTCAAGAAGATGACCTTACCTGGTATGAAGGTTTGTGTGCCTCCCGGACCCATTGAGCTATACTAGGTGGTGCCTGTGCGACACTCATAGGAGTCCCTCATACCAGGCTCGTCAATGCTCGGAGGTCTGACCACCACGGTCCCTGGTCCCTCATATTCGAGGCTGAAGCATGTATGTCGACTTGTTCTATCAAAATTGTAGTGCATTAGCATTAAATGCTTAACCACTGTGAAGCTGATGGACCCAGAAATTAAAAAAAAACTACTAGAATCGGTTACTCAAACGCCTGCCGGATGGCCCGAAGCCGGATATCGACGACCACCGGAAACAGATAGCCAAATGCTACTCCGTTCGAGGCACAGCGCAGCGAAATATTGGATCTCTCTTAGGACCGTCGCTTTGCTATAGGCCCGCGACAGGTTCTCCCTGACCTCAACTACCGACCCAATTTGGAACTCATTGTCCGTGCAGACCGGGAAACTTTGTGGTTCCAAAAAGACACAGAAATGGAAAGGCCCGTAAGCTGGTGCACCTGATTCGTTCGATTGGTCCTCAGCAGCCTCTTGGTGGCGAAACCATAAGAGACCAGAATCGCTCCGTAATATCTGACAAACCAGAAGGTTTAGACCAGTACAGTACAGTACGGTGCAGTACTTCAAATAACAATTCGGTTGGCCACTTGCTACCCCCAATCCGGAATTCTAACCTTCAACAGGAAGGTGGGCCGTGAATATGAAGCCACCTTCACCCTCATAAGTGTCCGGGTGTATATCTCTACTCCAGCATCATCGTGCTTCTGGTCATGACGGACTCCACATGCTCCATTCGAAAGGATGGTGGGTTTCTCAGTCAGTGCCTGTCTACCCTATTTGGGTCTACCTGCCAGACGTCCTAGAAACTAGAGTGAATGGATGGTAGTGCTCATTTTAAAAAATGGTGCTCGCTCGCACCACAGAAGTGTCATTTTGACCTCCAGTGTCACTGATTCTTCGTCGTCTTACGGTGGCACGCGAAGCACTGACTCGTGAGAATCAAGCAGGACATTTTCACACCGTCGGGTGTCAGAGCAACGCCACGTGTATAGACGAATCGTAATCTTGGTGTCCCTTGACTTCAAGGGTGAGTTCGATTCTGTCGATCGGTTAGTGCTGTTAACTACACCTGCTCATCAGGATATGCCAAAGTTTGTGAACGTCATCCGATCGCTATATTCATATACTTCTGAGCGTGTGAGTGTATGGTGAGCACTCCGGCAACTGCCCTGCAACAAGTGGTGTCCGACAAGGATGCCCATTCTCTCCGTTCTTGTTCAACTTCGTCATTGATGAAATAATGAGGCAAACGCTCGAAGGTCTCCTAAACCCCGGTGTTCAAATTGTTGCTAGTAAGAACCTTGTCGATCTGGAGTACGTAGACGATGTCACCCTCATCTTTCAAGACCAAGGCGAAGAAAATACCATACCGTCATCTTTCGGCACGCACCCAGCACATTCAAGGCGCAAAGTCATGCTTCATAACGCCCAGCTTTTGAACGTACCCCTTATAATTCAATGCGAATCGCTGTAGGTTGTGGAGAATTTCGAATGCCCCAGTAGTTGTATTAGGTCTGACAGAAATGTGTCTGATGAAGTCAGTGTGTTAATCTTAAACGCTGGAACCACGTTTGCTAACTTGCGTCACTTGTGGCTTCAGAAGGGTATATCACTGGATCCTAAGGGTCGCGTGTACCAGGATACAGTAAGGGCTGTTGTACGACTGCGAGACGAGGAGAGATTGTGTGAGGCATCTTCATGTTTTTGACCAACGATGCTTCACAGGTGTTGCCGGTTTTGAATGGCTTCAACGGATCAGTAACGAGGTGATTAGAAAATGGGCGGATACTTCAGTCACGGAAAACATCCAGCACCGTCGAATACGATTGCTCGGCTGCATGATACGTATACCGAAACGCCGTCTGCCGAGACGAGTGTTCTTCTCCGTAAATCATTCAGAATGATGCAAACCACGAGGTGGATAACGTATAACTTGGCAGGTGTGAAAGATATTAGAAAAAGTTCGAGTGTTGCTGATGTTGTGCTCCTTCCGGGATGGGGTATTTGTGACCCCGCCTGCGCTCGGCTGGGGACACTGCAAGAAATAGCGGCTGATTGGTGTCAGTAGCGTTCGTGTTGCCAGTTTCTTTTCAGATTGTCCGATTGAGCGATTGGAGGTCAGACATGTCAGAATGCTTGACACAGGTCAGCACCAGGTTCCCTTTCTCATCCACTCTTTCCCCTTTTTTCACTCAGAGGCGTTAAATAGAACTAGGCAAACCTTATGGTTGTACGGCAGTGGAGCATCGGTCTCAACATTGGTGTTGCCGTCTCTGATGATGATTGTCGTCTACAAAGGAGAGGCATTCTTGGCTGTTTTAGAAGCGAAAGGTTCAGGGGAGACAGTCCATAACGTGGCTTTGCGAAGTGAAAACAGTCACTATGAAGTTTAGTGCATTGGGGCCCATTGGCATTCCTAATTTGGCTCCTCGTGATTATCATCGTAGGCTTTGCAAAACCCACAGGACATTGCACGCAACCGGTCCAAATGGCGATCATGTTACTTTCTAGCCAGACTGCCTAGCCGTTTGTATGTCACAGTTCGCTTGGTTGAATGAGGCTCTCAGGTTGTGTTACATTAACCCCCCTCTCCCCCGAATGGCATCCTGCCTCAGCATAGTGCTGAACTGCGTTTTTCGACAGTTTGGAATGGGGTGCACACTCAATGTTTTCTCCACGTGCCAGGCTGGCTTGGCTGGGAGTGTGAGCCGAGTTGGACTTTGCTTCATTCGGCAGAAAGCGGATTCCCCACTCGGTCAATACGCTGGACATGTGAACTGGGTGTAACCATGCTTTACTCGGTGGAAAATGAATCCTTTGTACGGTCACTTCGTGTGGGTGTGTGATGTACTTGACCAGCACAGGTGGAGCTGGGTACAGTGTTGGCCCACATATTCAATTCGTAAATAATGCATCCCTTGTTCCGGCAACGTGTTTATGGGTTGTTGTACAATGAAGTGGTGCGTAAGTGAGCACTTAATGGTGAATCACAATCGCCAGAGTTATAACTGAAGCTCATTCTGTTAAATTAGTTGAAACAGGCACCAACACTGACCAGTCACCGTCTAACAAGGAAATTATTGTTTTTCCCGAACTGTTACCGGTGAAAGGCTCGCGGGGGACAGGTCATAATTTGGCAACGCGAAATGAATGCATATCTTCCGGGTTGTGATCCACGTGACTTTCCCTGAACGTAGTCAGAAGCCTTACGGGATATCACGTTGGCAGTTCCATTGCTAAGCATGCTACTCAGGCTACCCTGCAAAAGTTTGTCTTTCATTGTGCACTGGGCTCTTGTTAAGTGAGGTCCGCGAAATGATTTGGGTCAATCCCGCTAATGACGCTTTACTTCGAAGTGGTGCTCAAATAGGCTTATACCGTTTGTGTCCCAACATGTGGGCATCTCGTTCTTACTCGTTTTCATTGGAGACATAAGACTGCTTGCAGTAAGTCCCAATCCTTTCTTTTTGTGTCCATTCTCCACTAAGTGTTCCCATAGTTGTATGTAGGTTGTGTGCCGGTGTGTGACCGGTAATTATGATAATAATGCGTCATTCAGTCACTTGTGATCTTCGTCTTTATGCTAATTCGCACGAATGGATGATTCTGACGCATTTTTGTAGTTCGACCATACAATACAGACGATGTTCATGGATTAATTTTGCCCGGTATTCGAGATAATGTTCAGCTCATCATCACCATCGACAGCATGACATCAGTGTTCAACACTGATGATTCACTGCCGTACAACCATGACTTATTTGAAAGCCTTATTGTAAAGAAATGAGTAAAGGTGGACGGGGGAGGGACTTAGTGCTAGCTTCACACAATCATTCCGAGGTGCCTACACCTCCAGACATTCACTCAGGCAATCTGGATAGAAACTGACAACAAGAACGCCACTGACATCGGTTGGCAGCCATATCTTGTAGTGTCTCCAACCAGGCATAGTGAGGATCACGCGGTCCCCATCCTGGAAGGCGAGTTCAGCTGTTTAGTGGAAAATCACTTCGACAGGGTGACCCGAGTAGGAGCTGTCGAAGTTCCCTCCAACATTTATGGACTTCCTATCAAACAATGAAAGTGGCACCGGAGGTTGCTTGTTGCGGTGGAAAACTAGTTTCATTCGACTGACTGTTCGTCTAATCCCACTCTTATCCCCTACATGTATTCAACGTCAATCGCCGTTCACTGGGAGTGGTTTCTTTCATCCTTGGTAGACAGAAGACTCGAGAAATTTTACAAACAAATATCAACACTTGACCATTTGGATGCTTGCCATTGTGTAACTGCTACAGATGCATGTTTGATGAGTCTTTGTAGCGATTGTGCACATTCGCCCTTACGTTGCTTTCCCGTCTTTCTCATGCATGGCATATTA